GTGACTAAGGACGATAGAGAATTGATGCCTTTAAGTTGTGGTGCTGGAGAAGAGTGTTGACTATACCATGGACTGCTAGGAGAACAAACAGGTATCCTGGAGAGGGTGAAACCAGGCTGCTCCTTGGAGGCATAGATTCTGAAGCTTCATCTGACATACTTTTTGCATGTTACAAGGAAAGACCAGTTCTTGGAAAGGGACATTATGTTTGGGAGAGTGAAGGGATATCATAGGAGAGGAAGACCCTCGATGAGATGGATCAATTCAGTGATTGGGGTTATGGGAGTAGGCATGTCAGAGACAGGTTGTCACAGGATAGAGCAGGGTTTAGGACTTTTGTACCTAGGTTGCAAGTGACTCGACAGCACATAACAACAGAGCTGACAGGGACCACATTAACAATAACTAGGTAGCCAGAATGACTAGCACTGAGACCAATTTCAGTAAAATACTGAAATTGAAAGAAAGAAAATATCCTTTGGAATAATAATCAGATGACTTGAAAATGAAAAATACAAAACCCACTGCTGTGTGAATGAGTCTGTTCATATTCATGCTAACCATCAAGTTTCTGAGTCTATAAATCTTCATTGTAAGAGACTCTGAAATCACCTGTTGGATTCAAATTGTTAACCTTTTAATTAGCATTTCCTATTAATTCAGAGCTTTGAGGAGCTCTTGGTGACATAAACCTAATGGCAAGAAGCTGCAGTGCAATCCTGAAGACATGTGGTTCTCTTCCAGATGCTCTGCTGGAGAAGGAGGGGCAATCTCCTGTGCCAGTCAGATCTGATTCAGTGGAACACAGTTAAAAACAACAACAACAACAACAACAGAGCTTCTTAGAGAAATGGCTAGTTCCATTTCTGGACAGGAAATTTTTGAGATATACTTCTCGTACAGACCCTATGGGGAAGAGTAGAACTGCCTCTTAAGCTTTCCATGACTACACATTTTGCAGGGAGCAAGCATATTGCCACATCTTTCTCCTATGAAGCAGCTGGTGGATTTGAACTGCTAGCCTTTTGTGCTTTACCTTCACAGTTAACCAGTTATGCCACTGTAACGCCGTATTAGATAACTCATTACTGTCAATTGGAATTCACTCTTGGCTGACTTTCCAGATGATTTTCTGTAAATTATGGGAGGAGATTGCCCATCTTTCTTTCTTGGAGCCACCAGCAGATTTGAATCATCATAGGCACCACCTTTGCATCTCCCTGTGGACTGAACCCTACAACTCCCGCCACACTAGATGGCAAAGAAGTAATTAAAGTTCATTGTACTAATGTACATATAGGTTGGGTATAAGTTATTGTTGACTCAGGAACCTAACTGTATCAGCAACAGGATTGCATCAGAATGATTCAGAAGCCAAATTGAAATTGTTTCCACTGGTCAAACATGTGGCAAAGTCTATCTATAAGTGTAATAAGAGATTTTATCATCTGAAATATTTAATTTAAAAAATACAAGTTCACAATGATAAATTTTGGGAAAAAGATTATGTTGTTATAGCATGTGAATTTGGTTACGACTTATCTGTGAACAACAGATTTGAAGCTTACTATACTGTACCATCCTCATAATCTCTCATATTCTGAAGTTAGTCTCTGCGTCAGTCCATCTTGTTTAAGGTCTGTCTGTCTTTCTCTGACCCCTCACCTCACATGATGTCTTTTTTCCAAGCACTAGCCTGTCCTAACAACGTGTCCAGAGTATGTCAGATGAAGTTTCACCGTCCTTGCCTCTAAGGAGCACTTATTTCCACTTTTTCCATCTCTTGTTCTTCTGGCAGTCCATGGGATGTTCAGTATTTTTCTCCAATATAATAGCGAAACAAGAAACTCATTGTCATTAGGTTGTTTGACATTTACAGCAACTCTACAGATCAGAAACCATAGAATTTCCAAAGCTGTAGTATTTACAGAAACAGACAGTGGCTGGTGATTTTAGCTTTTAGCTTTGGAAACATTATTGGGCTTATCTACTTTTTTTTATAGGATTGATCAGAATCAGCTTAATCTGTAGTAGAGGTTTCTGTTTATTGGTGGCTTGGGTTAACTAATATAGAAGGAATAAGAGGATTGTTTTGCAGTTTATGATGAGTTAATAGTTTTGCTTTGAGCATTAATGTAGTATCCTATTATGTGTCTCCTAATGGAAGAGATCAGTGCTGCCAAGAAAAAATGATCCTATAGCCTCTAGAATACAGCAGCTGAATTCTAAATTTTAAAAATACAGAGTTCAGGGAAGGAGGTTACAGTTTACCATGGGAAATGTAAGCTACAAAATCCAGATTGTGGAAAACGAAATGTAACTACATTTCATTTTCCACAGTCTGGATTATAGGTAATTTTTTGAGGTTTTTATGGTTTTGTTTTGAAAGTAACATGTAGATAAAGATATTTAAGAGAATTTTTCTGGTTACAAAAGTAAAACTACGGCCCCCGACTCTGGGCGAGCCATCACGGCCCTCTGCCTGGGGCGGGCTGCCCTCGGCCCCTTGCTTGGGGCAAGCCTTCGCGGGCCCTCAGGGTCAGCTCCTCAGTCCCCAGATTGTGCCATCTGACCCCTGGGTGGGGAGGGGGGGGGAAGAATGCCTAGGGTATCCAGAGAATGTTATCTAGGCCACCTTCTGCCACCCTCTCCCCCAAGAGATTAAAAAAAAAAAAGTAAAACTAGTGTGAAGGGATGCACAATTGGGTGGTTAAAAAAAAGTAGAGTGCAGTAGTTAGGGTAGTGATTATTTTAATGATAAAGATTTTCAAATTGTAATGATCCTTGTAATGAGTTTCTCATATTGGCCAGTAATGTTCCTTTAGTTTTAACTGGTGGTGAAATGATACTTATTTTTAATTCATTAATGGAGGTCTAGTGACCTAGTGGGTAAGGAGCTGTGCTGCCAGCCCCAAACGCACATTGTTTGAATCCACCAACTGCTCTGTAGGAGAAAGATAGGCAATCTCTTCCAAGCTCTAAAACCCACTGAAGGGTCAACTGTGAATTGGTTCCTGCCTAATTGCACCTAACAGTAAGAACACAATAGATTAATGGTTTATCTTACAGACAACTGTTTATCTTACAGATGTCTTCCAATTTTAAAACTTTTTAAATTAGTGGAAGGAGATCAAAGATGCCATGTAAATAGGAATAGGATCTCTTTTTTTATTTTATAATTATTTTTTAAATTAGTTTTGTGTGTGTGTACCGTTAAATCTGATCTGACTGATACAGGAGGAGATTGCCCCTCCTTCTCCAGCAGAGCATCTGGTGGATTTGAACTGCGTTCCTCTAGGATTGCAGTGCAGCTTCTTGCCACTAGGCCACCATAGCTCCCTAGGAATAGTATCTCTTAAGAAATCTAGGTAGAATGCGGTTTAAGAAGAGAGACCTGTTAAAACAAGAAACCGGCTTTAATTTTTTTCCTTGGAGATTACCTGCAACTATTACATCTAGTGGAATGTGTCTTTCTTTTCTTTAAATTCTCTCACTGGCTTCTCCTTTACGTGGTAAGCTGGGAGTTTTTAGTCAGTGTTTAACTGGTTAAAAACTATATACTAAAGAAAAAAACAACCCAAAACAACTATACACTAAGGGAGCTCTGGTGGCCTAGTGGCAAGAAACTGGGCTGCAGTCTCAAAGGTACGGAGTTCAAATCCACTACGTGCTCTGCTGGATAAGGAAGGGGCAATCTCCTGTGCCAGCTGAATCAGATTTGATGGTACACAAGAAAACAAAACAAAAACTGTACACTAGCTCTTGGAAATTCTGAGGTGGATGGGGAGTTGAGGAGATGTTGGGGGAGCGATGGAGGGGAGGGAGTGTGCGTGTGGGGGGGGGGTGGGTGGGGTGTTTCAGTTTCCATGTTCTATGGACAACTGAGTAGCTGTTTTCCAACTCCATTGCCAAGTTATAAAATTTGAGCTTTGATCGGAGTGCTAACCTTATACACTTGATAGAATTGGTTATTAAACCTATGGTATTATCACTTCTCCATCTTTTCCTGTTATTTTCACTACTTTACTGGGATAGCAATTGTTCTAATCTCTCAGTCAGTGTTTTAAAAAAACCCCTCAAATTCATTTCTTCAAGTTGCTGCCCGGATGATTGTTGTTAACAGAATGATTGAATCATTTTAATTCTGCAGAAAAGGGATCGTTATTGTCTGCAGAATAAAATTGAAACTCAGACAATACACCACAAACTGCTTTTCACTAATTTTCCAGAATTTTCTTTTTCCACAGAATAACCCTTTCCTTCTCTACCATTAATCATGCTGAACTGTTTTCAGATCTCTTGAGCATTCTGCTCTTCCTGTCTTGATGCTTGTTGAGATTTCTCCTCCTAGACGCCTCCATTCTTTAGTTGTTTAGATGTTTATCTTTTAAGTTCATCTTTGTAGTCACCACTTCTAATTAGACTTTTATCTTTCCGTCACTTCTTTATCAAATAGATTATGTATTCCATCCTTAATACTTGTCTGTCTTTCCTAATGTGAATTCTTATCCTAAGGCTTTGGGTACTTATCCACAAGTTTATCTGTTAACACTGTGATCTCAGTAAGGACAGGAAAAGACAATTCTTATGACATTCATATGACATTCATGGACTGCCTCTAGACTTCAAGGCAGTCTTGGAAATGCAGTAATATCGCTCACTAGTGATTGCCCTTACATCTGAAACAAATGGTCTTTATTCTCGTTCATTCTGTTTTCTGTGCCTCATTATTTGGTGTATATATTCCACAGGGATGTAAGAATTTTCACACCAGAAAAAGAAAATCCCTCTTACAGAAAAGAAAGTGGAACCTACGAGATCCCAAGATTAATGGAAGATCTATTTTTGTGTTTCAACATCTTAACTATTTTGTTGTAATTCTAAGTACAACATTAAGTTTGAAATTTTCCCTAATGCCCTCAGTGATGGCTACTTGCAGAGGGTAAGATGCCAAAATGATTGGTTTTCTGTATCAAACATTAATATCCCTTTTTTCCTAGCCTTCTTTGAATCCAGAAGCTGGCAAACAGAATCAGCCATGCAGACCTATTGGGACCCCTTCTGGAGTGTGGGGTAGGTAGACTTTTGCCATTTTAAAGGCAAAATTTAAAAATTTTTTTCTTATGAAGGCAAGGAGCAAAAATTTCTTATTTTATTTATTTTTTTTTAATTTATCTCTTATTCCATCCTCATCTCATCTATTCCCTATAGTGACTAACATCTGTAAGGTCTTCACTAATCTAAGTGGTTAAAGCAAGTTATTCTGTATTCTGCCCGTAAAGTACCATGGCGATGTAATCAATTATTAGAGTCAAAAGACAGGCCATTGAGAGCTTGTAGAGTCCACAGTTTGGAAATAGAGTTTAAGTAAAGAGAGATTAATACAGAGACAGAAAAATTGCTTTTTAAATTAACAGTGCTAATTCACTTTGTAACATTTATATTGTACGTGCTAAAGTTACTTTGAAACATATTGTGGAACTATATAGCAATGTTTCTTTAGTATTTCTTCATATTACTATTCTTCAAGTTATTAAATACTCTTGTAATGGTTTTATAATAACACATCTTATAAATACACTGTTCAAACACATTACAATTGGATGTTTTTATAGCTAGAAATGGTGTTTGAGAGTATGAAGTTAAACATATAAATATATACATGTTTATATGTATATGTTGGAAGAAGTAGCTTTAAAAAAATTAACAGATGAATTAATCTATTTCAAACCAAACCTGTATATTTAAATTTTGGACATTTACAAATTGGTCTCTTCTGGTCCCCACATCAGACATTTTATTGTGAGTAGCCAAGCATCTTACTGTGACAGTATTAGCATGATGTCTGAATACTAGGTTTATCCTACTTCCTCCCTTTATTAATGGTTACATAGCTTTGCTGCAGTTTGTTTCAAGAAAAGGTCCCTTGGTGGAGTCCTTTCCCTGATTTCTTTTCTCTGCCTGACACAAGCTGCTACTTTCTGATGTATTCCTGTTTGGGCCATGCTTGACTGATCACATCATACTGTGCTCTCAACGGATTGCTGGCATTATTTAGGGCTTTTACTTATTCTTGGATTCTGTACCAAATGTGTTGTTTCTTGCTTTCTTCCCTACAGTTCTCAAGTAATTTCTGTGTACCACACTGGGAGATACTTGCCTCTCAGTCTCAACTATCAGCTCTTTGTTGAAATAGAGACCTTCATATAGAGCTGCTTGTTAACCACCAGATTTGATTTTGTTTTGTCTCCACTATTATATTTCACAGAAAACCCACCTAGTGCCAAGCAACCTTCTAAGATGCTAGTCATCAAAAAAGTTTCCAAAGAGGATCCTGCTGCTGCCTTCTCTGCTGCATTCACCTCATCAGGATCTCACCATGCAAATGGGAGCAAATCATCAACTATGGTCCCAAGTGTCTACAAGAACCTAGTTCCTAAGCCCGCACCACCTCCTTCCAAGGTATAATTTGTAATGAGTATTAAAACTTTATAAAACAGATGTAGTAAATTCCTATTTCCTGTTGATCATTCAGTATCAATTCATTCAGTACCACATCATTCCGTCTTTTCAGTATCTGTTGTATTTATATTACTACTGTATTGTCTTCAGATTCTTTATTATGAAATACAGAACCTATTGAATTTCGGGCAGGCTTCTTGCACCCATTATCTTTATATCTTAAAAGTACTCCTGATATGCTGATTCCATTAATAGTATCACCATATATCTGATGACTCATCTATATACCTTGGCTGTTTACTTTCTTTCTCCCTTTTTTTATTTAACAAATCCATAATTTTATTTCCTTTTCAATAAGTTTCAGTCCTCGAGGGATACGTATTACATGGATACTGTTGTCCAATGGCCTTAGCAGGAAGATTGCTCTTAATCTTGGCCTGAACTGTGCCACTTTTTCCGTGGGCACTAGTTACCTTTCCCCAGATTACTCTGGTTTTGTTGGGTTTGCCACCAGGAATAACAGTATTATTCTTTGCTTTGAAAAACATAAGCACATCTTTTAGCTAAATAGAATTTTATTTCATCTTGGGCATAAACACCTTCAATTTTAAGAAGAGCTGTGTGCTCCCTCTGCTTCCAGATACCTTGTTTAGAGCCAGCAAAAGTGGCTTTGCACCAAAGCCTCCCAGCCATCTTTGTGGTTTAGAAGTCCCAGTTATTTAACCCCAAACTTCAGAAGTTGGAAGACTCACCTCGTTGGCTGTTTTCTTAATCCTTTCTCTCAACCAAGCAGTTACGAAGTCCTGTCAGAGTCATTCTGTCTATTATCTTAATTTGTTATGTGTCATCGAGTCACCTAAGACTCATAGCAGCCCTAAGTACAATAGCTCTGGCCTGTTCTGAGCCAGTCTTACTGTCGCCAGCACACCTATCCCCCTTTACCCCAGTTACTATATCAGTCTGTCTCCTCCAAGGTCTTCCTCTCCTTTGCCGCCTCTCCACCCTTCCGAGCTTGATGTCTCTCTCCAAGGACTGATCCCTCCTGGCCGCAAGCCCAAAGTTTATGAGACAGAGCTTCAGAATCCTTGCCTGTTTAGGCCTTTGTTAGTTATTGTACTGTAGTCTTCTATTTTTCTCCTCTCTACATTTGACTTCTCACTCTTCTGTACTTCGAGGATCCTTTCTTAAATCTCTTTAGTAGCTCCAGATGATTTATAGTAGATGTAAAGTGTGTGGGGTTTTTGTTAAGGGTTGTGGAATAAATATTTTTTACTGGCCACATAGAGACTTTGTTATATAGCTGACTCTGGAACAATATGGATTTGAACTGTGTAGGTCTACTACTTATATGCCAATTTCCCCCCATTAAATTATATATGTTGTTGTTATGTGCCATCGAGTCGCTTGCGACTCATAGCAACCCCATGTACAAGAGCCCTAAATGCCGTTCTATCCTGTACCAACCTAGCCACCTCAGACACTTGTTCCCACCACTCCAGTCACAGAATTGGACCATCTCATCGAAGGTCTTCCTCTCCTTCGCCACCCCTCCATTCTGCCAAGCATGTAGTCCCTCTCCAAGGAGCATTCCGGCTTCACCTTCTCCAGGACAAACCTGATTGTTCTTCTAGCAGTCCATGGTATATTCAACACTCTTCTCCAGCACCACAGCTGAAAGGCATCAATTCTCTTTCTATCTTCACTATTCATTATCCAACTCTCTGATGCATAGCACTTAATTGTGAAGACTATAGCCTGGATCAGACATTAGGTCTTTTGTTCATGGAGTCACTATGAGTCATGTTTTACTAGATGGCAGTCAACAACAATGATATATAGAGATCTTTGAGACATATGTATTAAATTTGTGTGTGTGTGTGTATATATATATATTTATATATAAACCTTCTATGACAGGTTTGGAAGTAGGAAGGGCATCCATTTCCTAAACAAAGTACCTCTGGAAACTCTATGAACTTTGATAAATGTCAGTGTTGTAGAAGGGCTTCAGGCCTTTTGTTCATAGGGTCGCTGTGAGTTGTGCTTGACTCAAAGGCAATCAACATTTATATCTATGTATCTATATCTGTTATCTATTTCTATGTATCTATTTCTCTCTATATATGTTGTTATGTGCCATCGAGTCGCTTGCAACTCATAGCGACCCTATGTACAAGAGCTCTAAATGCTCTTCTATCTTGTGCCACCCGCACCAGTCACAGAATCAGTCCATCTCATCGAAGGTCTTCCTCTCCTTTGCCACCCCTCCACTCTGCCAAACACGATGTCCCTCTCCAAGGATCAGTCCCTCCTTGCAACATGCCCAAAATATGTCAGATGAAGCTTCAGAATCCTTGACTCCAAAGAGGCTTCACCTTCTCCAGGATAAACCTGTTGGTTCTTCTAGCAGTCCATGGTATATTCAACACTCTTCTCCAGCACCACAGCTCAAAGGCATCAATTCTCTTTCTGTCAACCCTATTCACTGTCCAAGTCTCTGATGCATAGCACTTAATTGCGAAGACTATAGCCTGGATCAGGCACACCTTAGTCTCCAGTCTGACGTCGTTGCTCTTCAGTACTCTTGAGAGGTCCCTCACAGCCAACTTTCCAATGCAGTTCATCTTTTGATTTCCGGGCTGCTGTTACCAAGAGTGTTGACTGTGGAGCCAAGTAAACTAAAACTAAATCTCTTCACCATCCATACCGATGCTGCCAATTGGCCCAGTGGTGAGAATCTCTGTTTTTTTGATGTTGAGCTTCAGTCCATATAGGAGGCTGTAGTCCCTGATCTTCTGCAGCAAGTGCCTCAGGTCCTCCTCAGTTTCAGCAAGCAGGGTTGTGTCATCTGCATAACGCAGGTTGTTGATGATTCTTCTAATCCTGATGCCAATTTCCTCTTTGTATATAGCCCAGCATCTCGGATGATCTGTTCTGCATACAGGTTGAAAAGGTATGGAGACAGAATACATCCCTGACGAACCCCCTTCTTGATTTTGAACCATGTAGTGTCTCCTTGCTCTGTTCTGACAACTGCCTCTTGTTCCAAGTATAGGTTTTGCATTAGCAAAATCAAGTGTTCTGGGATTCCCATTCTTCTCAGAGTCAGCCACAGCTTGTTGTGATCCACACAGTCAAAAGCCTTTGCATAGTCAATGAAGCACAGATAGACATTTTTCTGGTATTCTTTGCTTTCTGCCAAGATCCATCTAACATTAGCTATAATATCCCTAGTACCACACATCTTCTAAATCCAGTAGCAGTACATAATAGTCTCTCCATTCTCATTTATTTCCCTTCCTGTTTATCGCAATATTGCAAAACTAGAATACCGTGAGATCCTTGCAAAGTGCTAGAAGTACTCCCCAAAATGACATGGGGGGAAAAAAGCTGAATTGCTTACTGTTTACCTTAGATCAAAGTCCAGAGCTGCATTTTCTCACCATTTCAAGATAAATTAATCCAGTGTAAAGAGCACTGTTTTGGTGTTTATTTTTAAAAAATAACTTTGAAGCCTTTACTGTAGCTGCACCAATAGGCACTTTAAATAACCCTATAACATCCATTCTTAGCTTATCTGCCGTACAAAAACAGTCCTAAGTACAAACTAGCCCCAGATGTACATTGTCCATATTCAGTAGCAATGATTCTAAGTTCATTTCATCTTTCACTACTTAACTACACCCTCTTTCATCTTTCACTACTTAACTACACCGTCTTTCACGTTATCTGGGGAATTATTCATTCATTTTATAAGCTCACATTACCTTCAGATTTATGTCACCCTTTCTATAAATGTTTATAGTACATACATTTAAGATCTAATTAATCTACGGGAGCTCTGGTGGCCTAGTGGCAAGAAGCTGCACTGCAATCCTAGAGAGATGTGGTTCAAATCCACCAGATGCTCTGCTGGAGAAGGAGGGGCAATCTCCTCCTATACCAGTCAGATCCGATTTGACGGTACACACACACACACACCCAAAATAATAAAATTTTTTTTAAAAGTCTAATTGATCTGTAATCATAGCTTTCTGTCTCTTAACCACAATAGCTGTAATAGTTCATTTCATCTGTTTGTAACTTGATCCTTACAGGTGGAAGGGTTTTCATGCCTTTTTCTTATTTGTATCTGTGCCATCCTTACATAAGCACATAATAATTTGATTTCCACCTTGTTGTTAACATGCCAACCTTGTGAACAACAGATTAGAACCTTGCCTTATCTTTACAGTCTCCAACATGCACAAGCCCATTGTTAAGTCATTATGTCAGTCCATCTTGTTGAGGATCTTCCTCTCTTTTTCTGACCCTTTGGGGGAAGAAGAGATCAGATATCTGGTTGGGAGATAATAGTTTACCCATTCATTCATTTTATCAGAGTATTCAGCAGTTATGAGCATTGAGTTTCTTATCACTCAAAATTAAATTACGTCATCATAATATAGCTCTGGTGGCCTGATGGATAGGCGTTTCAGCTCCTCCAAGCCAGAAAGATAACCAGCCTCCTTCTGTGCAATTTCTAGGGTCAAAAACTCACTAGAGGCACAAAAGAATGAATGCATGGCCTCTAATACCAAAAAATTCATTATTTCATGGTCAGAATGTTGTAAACAGTATATTATTGTTCCCAAAGTGTGCTTTTAAAGCCGTTGTAAACAAAATCTTACTGAGACTAGAATTTTAAGGGGCCAAAGAAAGGGAATTTTTTTTTAATGATTTTATGTAGTCTTCTAGACCTTTACTTAAATTACAGTATTTCATCTTCATTCTGATTGTGGAATGTATATTGTTGTCTTAGGAGTCTTTGAGTTGGTCTGACTCATAGCCACCTTAGGAAAATAACCTGCCTGTTCCTACACCACTCTCAGAGTTACTGTTATGTTTGAGCTCATTATTACAACCGCTATGTCAGTCCATCTCTTTGAAAGTCTTTTTCCCTGACACTCTGCTTTACCAAGCATGTCCTCCTTTAGGAACTGTTCCCTTCATAGAAGCATGTTCACAGTATATGAAATGAAATTTTGTGTCTAGGGAGCATCCTGGCAGTATTTTTTCCAAATGGATTTGATCCTTTTTCACAGTCCATGCTATACTTCATCAGCACAACAATTCAAAGACATTATCCTTCTGTCTTCCTTATCCATTCCCCACCTTCACATGCATGAGTCATTTGAAAATACAGTGTTTTAGGTCAGACATACCATTGTCTTGAAAGTGATGTCTTTGACATTTTTTAACTTTTTGCCTAATAAAATATGCCGCTTTATTTATTGGCTGCTGCTTCCTTGGATTATAGACCCAACATGAATGATTCCTTGACAATTTTGATTGACAGCTTTTTTCAGTTTCTTACAGTGTTGCTTATTGATCCAGCTGAGAGGTTTTGTTTTCTTTATGTTGAGATGTAATCCATACTAAAGGCCACAATCTTTGATTTTTGTCTGTTCAATGCTTCAAGTCCTCTTCACTTTTTAGCAAGCAAAGTTGTGTCATTTGCATTCCATAGATTGTTAATAAAGCTTCCTCTGACCCCATTGTGTGGTCCTTCATATCATCAAGCTTCTCAAGATTATTTGCTTGGCATATAGATTAAATGAGTATCTTGAAAAGATGCAACCCTGATGCAGACCATTCTAATTCTAAACTCTGCAGTGTACCATTTTTCTCCTCAAATAACATCCTCTTGGTTTGTGTATAGGTAGGTTTACATGAGTACAATTAACTCTTCTGAAATTACCAGTCTCTACATTATTATGCATAATGTCGCATACATTAATATGCATAATTACACAATTGAATGCCTGTACATAGTCACTGAAACACTGGGAAACATCTTTGTTATATTGTCTGCCTCATTCAGAAATCCGTCTGATGTCAGTAGTGATAATCTTTTGTTCCATGTCCTCTTATGAGTCTACCTTCAATTTTTGGTTCTTCCCTGTTTGATGAAATGCTGCAAATGCTTTTGAATTCTTTTAGCATCATTTTACTTGTATGTGATATCAGTGATACTGTTGGATAATTTGTGCCTTCTGTTGAATAAACTTTCTATGGAAGGGGCACAAATAAAGATCTGCTCCAGGCAGATTAGTTGCCCAAGAAGCTTTCATATTTGGCTAAGCAAGTGAGCACTGCCACTATTAGATCAGGAACCCTCATTTATCATCATAGTCTTCACATAGCTTGGCTTCAATACAATGTGGTCTTGAAATGAATACTTTGAGTAATGATTGGATGTCATCAGTTCCTTTTGATACGGTGATTTTATTGATGTTTTATTCATGATTCAAGATTTTGCCCATAGGCTCCTTCAGAATTGAGATTTGAGAGTTACTCCCCCCCCCCTTCACTTCTTTAAACTTGAGACATCCAAAGGATCTGGTTTTAACTCCCTGTCATTGCACAACCCATTACAGTGCTTATCTTTATTTTCCCTAGCAGCCTTTTGAAATCTTTGCGACTCTTCCTCCTCATTTCTTTAGTTCATTTTAGCTCTGCTCTCAAGAACAAGTTTCAGATTCTTCTTTAAATTTATTTTGATCTTTTCTTTCTTTCCTGTCACTTTATTGACCTTTTTTTCCTTTATATGATCTTTATGTCATCCTGCAACTCATCTGATCCTCAGTCATTAGTGTTCAGTGCATCACATCTATTCTTGAAATGGTCTTTAAATTAATACGTTATATACTCAAGGTCATATTTTAATGTTCACAGGGTTTTTTCTCTTCTTGTTTTCTTCAAATTGAACTGCCAGAGGAGGAAGAGGCTGTGTTTCATACTTAGCCCTGATCTTGTTTTCATTCAGATTGTGTGGGACCAATCATTTCAACTTCATTCATCCCAGTAGTAGACATTTGAAGTGGAGAGGGTGGAGATTTATTTGAGTCTGGCAGAAAGAGGGGACATTTTAAAAAAATTAAATGTCATTGATTTGCAGCTCACTTTATTGGATTTTTAAAAATACTCATCTCAAAAAAAATATAAAAATTCAACTCCAGGGAGCTCTGGTGGCCTAGTGGAAAGAAGCTGCACTGCAATCCCAGAGGCACACAGTTTGAATCCACCAGATGCTCTGCTGGAGAAGGAGGGACAGTCTCCTCCTGTATTAGTCAGATCCAATTTGACAGTATACACACACACAAAATAATAAATTAAAATTTTTAAAAAATTTTAAATTAAAAAAAAACACTCATCTCCTAAAATGACATGGGTGGTGGCATAATTTTCTTCATGGCAGCTAACTATACTGTTTTATTTGTGTTAGAATTGGAAAGGTGTTAGTATACTGTTGAGCATAATATTAAGAAGCTTCCATAACTGCTGTGGTAAACAGCTAAAATTTGTGTTTCCTGAGATAATTTTTATGAGATAATATTTTTTTACTTGTTTTATGATACAGATCTTTTCTCAGTTTTTTATTTGTGTGTGTGGGTTCATTCATTCATTGATACACATTTTCCTCCCTTCCCCAGTTGACTCTGTAATGCATGTCTTGTTCCACACTGTTAATTGTCATGCATAATCCTTCCTTTCTCCTATTCTAGTGTAATATTCATTATCTATCCATTCTTTTCCACTTACCCCTCACCTGTTTTTATAACAGTGATCTTATGCATATTTGTCCTTTTGTGACTGAGATCTTAGACTCACCATAATGTCTTTCACAGTCAGTCATGTTGTGTAATCTTGATACAATACAAGTTCATTGCTTTTGAGTGCTGCGTAATGTACCATTACGTGAATGTACCACAGTTTTTCTATCCATTGTTTGTTGTTGGACACTTTCTGTCCCTTCAGTATTGTGAACAGTGATGAAATAAACATAATGCGTGCAGTAAACAAATGCTGCATACATGTGTTTGTGTCACGGCTCTGGTTTCTTTACGGTGTATTTCCAGTAGTGGGATAGCTAAGCTAAATGGTACTACCTGTTTCCAGCTTTCTGAGAAAGCACCAGACTGCCATCTGTACCACTGAAATGACAGTGGTGACATCTGGTGACAGCTCTCTGGAAGATGCAAATAATCTTTGTTAATTAGCATGACATCTTTAGATTTTCATAGATGTAAGACGAAACTAAAAGAAATCTTTATTCTGGTTGAGTCATTGTCTCTTACTTGCTTACATACTCTTTGTGAAAAGGCAAATTCCCTTACTGGCTCAGTAATGTTGAACAAACTGCATACTTTTCTTAAATCATACCTTCAGTCTCCGTGAAAAGAGGACATATGGAAAAATTATACTTGATAGCATTCATTATTAAGAATTATACATGACAGTTACTCATCAAACTTTCTGGGAAGCAGCATTTTTGTTTTGTAAAAAATTAAGGTAATATCAGAGGTTAACAACCCCACCATAAAAAACAACAACCCAGCCTGTTTGGGTTGGAGTTGTGTATTATATACCTACTTCTTAAATTCTCATACCAGTTAAGTAGTAAAGAAACATTATGTTGATGTGGTTATTAGTATATTGTTGCTGTTGAGTATGACTATAGCAACCCTAGGAACAACAGATTTGAACCCCACCCTATCCTGTTCCATCCTGATCATTTCTGACACAGTTAAGACCATTGCTCCTTGCTGTATCAGCCGTCTCATTGAAGGTCTTACTCTATTTCACTTACCCTCCACTTTTCCAAGCATGATGCATAGTAAAAAGTACATTGTAAGTTGATGTTTACTCACTGAACATTTCCAAGGCTTATTGAACCAGAGCCTTTGTTTTTATAGAATATTTCCTAGTCTCCCATGGTTCTTGTGGTTCCTGTCAGCTTTTTTTTTCTCCTTCATGTGTCCAGCCTCAAAAGGAGGTTGCATACCTCCCAATTGTGTTAAAAGAACTAAGCTCGGGAGACTTGGGTTTCTATTTTTTAACATCTTATTTTTGTTTATGGCCCCCCCTTTTTTTTGGCTCAGTTTTTATTCTTGTTTGAACTGATTTCTTCTTTTCTCTCATACAGCCCAGTGCATGGAAAACTAACAGAATGGAACACAAATCAGGATCCCTTTCCAGTAGCCGAGAGTCTTCTTTTACCAGCCCAATCTCTGTTACCAAACCAGTGGTACTGACTGGTGGCACAGTTCTAAGTTCTCCTAAAGAGGTGAGTAGGGTAAAGTAGGGCAGCCCTTTGTACCTTTGCCATTTTTCATTTGCCTGTGCTGAGAGGTAATCCTTATAATTCTAAAGCTACTATTTTTATAGCTGTGGTTAGCAGAGAATTATTTCTTCATTTGTGTTTTGCATTAACATCCAGAAGTGTGCTATAATTGAGTGTGGTAATCCTGTGATTGACCAAGATTTCTGTCTGATAACACCATTTCTTTTAATGTTTCTATAGATTGTAGCAGAATGCCTGTAATATCCTGACATTCTGCTAGTGTCAAGAGCAAGATTAAAGGCAGTACTGTAGCAGCCAAATGGTTGGCATTTAAGAGTCCACCCAGAGGAAAGACTTGGTGATAAACTTGCAAAACATTAGGCACTGAAAACCCTCAGGAGCACAGTTCTACTCTGATACCCATGGAGTTGCCCTGAGTCAGAATCGTCTAGATCAAAGCTAGTATGGTTTTGTTTGGTTTTTTGGTTTTTTTTTTTTTACAAAAAAAAAATTATACAGCGTGCGCGCGCACGCGCGCGCGTGTGTGTGTGTGTGTGTGTGTGTGTGTGTTTATTTCTTTTAATCAGCCAATCTCAACTGGAAAAAAACACAAAACTGAAGTCTGGTTTAATGAAAAAGATTATTTTTTTAAACAATGATAAATAGACATCAGGCTCTGAAAATCACTGCTGTAGCTTATAACCTACAGTATTTCAGTTCATGCTTTATTCTTAGAAGCAAAACTGTTTGTGGTATTTGTCTAGAGTCCCTCCAGCATCACTCCTCCAATTGAGATTACCTCCTCTCGTCTGACTAAGTTGACCCGCCGAACTACGGACAGGAAGAGTGAGTTCCTGAAGACTCTGAAGGATGACCGGAATGGAGATTTCTCAGAGAGTAGAGATGGTGACAAGCTGGAGGATGTAAGAACAGAGAGCTTTTGTGGGATAGTGTAGGGTGAGGAAAGGAAGGGCTTTGTCAGTGTTTTCCTTTGTTATATAAGTGGGCGGTTGCTGTCTTGGTTTGTTTATTGTTCCTGGGGTGTTTTTTTTCCACTTAAAGAAGAAAGGTATGACAAGTTTTGGAATGTACATAGATTTTGTCTCTGAATCAATAGGCCAGCAGCGCCTATTATTTTATCATGAGTGGTACAAATAGTACCATCTTTCCTAAAAGATATTTGAATGACAGATGCTCTAGGACAGAGTTAACACTTCCATCCAATCTTTAATTGGCCAGTGATATAAAGAGTACATAAGTTATACAAAGTTCTCATTAATTAGGATTGTATTTTAAAGAAAAATTGAGAAATAGTATAAAACAAGAAACTTGTGTGTTCTGCAGTAGAATGTATGCAGTTCAAGAAGATATGATCGCTCAGTGGTATTGTTGTTGTTGATTGCCTTCGAGTTGCGCACGACCCATAGTGACCCTATGAACAAAAGACCTGAAGCTCCCCTACAACTGACATTTATCAAAGTTCATAGAGTTTCTGGAGGCAAGTTGTTTAGGAAGTGGATGCCACTCCTGCTTCCAAACCGATCATTGAATGTTATTGATTGAGTTGCTTGCAATGCATAGCGACCCCAAGTCCAGCAACTCTGAGCCCTTCCCTGTCCTGAGCCAGTCTCACTAATTCTGACAAACAACCCTCCATTGCCCCAGTCACTGTATCGATCCATCTCACCCGTGGTCCCCCTCTCCTGCACTGTCCATCCACCCTTCCAAGCATGATGTCCCTATCCATGTTGTGTTTAGAGAAAAAAGATAGCTTTTCATTTTTTTAAAGCTTTGTTAGAAATTTTACTTCTCAAATTTATCCATTTCATCAGTCATTCCTAGCTCTAGGAAAGTCTAGGAAAACATTTCTTAGCTGAGAATGTTGGCTCTCCAGTCATTACAAGGAAGAATGGATATTGTGTAAGTATGTAGTCGCTTCTGCCCACAGTTAACAAAACTTAAGTTTAACAACATATAGTTATCCATTAGTGTTCTTGGAAAATCTTAGCAAGGTGAGCAAGACATCATTTATAAGTAAGGAAAAGCCAGAGATGGAATTTGTTTTCTAAGAAGCTTTATTTCTGAGTTTTGACTCCCTATCTTACCACAAAGATATTTTAAGCAACTTTCTTCCTTTTCCCTTACAGCAGTTGGAGAATAACAGTACACCTGAACCAAAGGAAAATGGAGAGGAAAGCTGTCATCAGAATGGCCTTGCTCTCCCTGTAGAAGAGGAAAGGGAAGTCCTCTCACACTCTCTAGAAGCTGAGCACAGGTGAGTGAGAGTCAGGTCATAGTGCATGTTGCATATGGCCTACCAGGGACCTCAGTTATACTTGGAAAGATAACTTATGCATACAGAGAGAAGTCCAACAGTTACCATGTTCTGTGAATGCTTTCATTCTCCTTTGCTCACTGAGCATTTCCTTTTAGACTTAGCCAGAATTTTCATACATTCCTCTTAAGATTTTGAATGTACCATCTTCAATTTCTACAAATAAGGTGATGTTGCATATCACTAATTGTTAATGAGTCTTCCTCCAGTCCTAGTGCCACATTCCTCATTTAGTCTACCTTCTTAGATTTTTTGTACTTAAGATACATACTGAATAAATGGGAAAGAACTTAATCCTGATGCACATTTCCCCTGATTTTTAAATCCCTTCATATCCTCTTGTTCTATTTCAGCTGCTTCTTGGTTTATGTTTAAGTTTGCATGCGTACAAGTAAATGTTCTGGAATTCTTTACACTGTTACTGTTGTTGTTAGGTGCCATCAAGTTGCCTGTGACTTACAAAGTCCTAAGTACAATAGTTCTGAAGCCTACCCTTTTCTGAGCCAGTCTCACTGATTCCAACACACATACCCCATTACTCCAGTTACTCTTCTCAGTCCATCTCATCCAGGATATTCCTTTCCTGTGCTGTCCCTCCACCCTTCCAAGCATAATGTTCTTCTTCACAGACTGGTCCCTCCTGGCCACATGCCCAAACTATGAGACAAAGCTTCTTAATCCTTACCTCCAAGGTGAAACTTTCTTCTGCACTTTGACTTCTTTATTTTTTCCATTCACGTTAGCTGTTGTACTCTCAGAAAGTTTTATGGTCTCTTCTAACATCCATTTTGGTCTTTTCTTTCTTTATCTTTTTCATGATTTTTAGCTTCCTTCACATATAGTATTGCTACAGTCTTCACAACTCATCCAGTGTTAAGTCATTAGTGTGCAATATATCAAATGTGTACTTGAGATGGTCTCTAAATTCAAGTGTTACTCAACATACCATACTTTTAAAATCATAGACTTGTAATTGTCTTCAGTTTAAAATTGAACTTGCATGTGAGCCTTTAATGCTTTATTCTACAATCAGTCAGCCTTTGTCCCTATTCTGACTGATAAAATTAAATTTTCCACTATTTTTCCACAAGTGTAGTTGATTTGATTCCTATATATGCTATCTTCCACAGATGTAGTCAGTTTGATTCTTACGAAGCCCATCAGGTGGGAGGTCCATGTGTAAAGTCATTGTTTCTTTTAAAAAAGGTATTTATAGTAAGTAAGGCATCATGAATACAAAATTCAGTCATTCTATTTCCAACCTCATTTCTGTCACCAAGTCCATATTTTCCAACTTCAACTCCTTTTTCAGTGTTCTTTCTTCAGTATTTCCAACTTTTTTATTTCAGTTATTATTAATGCATCTACATTGCATGTTTGGTCCATTTTGGACTGCAAGATTTGGTAAAAATTTGCAGTTTTTTCCTTATTGGCTCTAGATATAGGAACATATATTTGAATAATAGTCATCATATCAAGTCCTTTTTGTATGCATATGAGTAATATCTAGTCACTCACACGTAGTATTTCAGGATAGATCTTGAAATTGACTTTTTTTTTAAATTGACTTTTGACTATCAATGCAACACCATTATTCTGTTTTTCATTCCCACTATAGTATACCATGTGATTCAAAGTGGCTAAAGCCATTCCATCTCTTCTCACCTCAGTAATGCCTAGTATTTTGGTGTCCATGTATTCCATTTCATTTTTCACAATTTCTAGTATTCCAACATTCAAGCTACGTACATTTCGTGTTCAAATTATTAAATGATGTTTGACATTATTTTCCTCTTTTCTATTCACTTCCAGTCTGGGCTCTTATCACTTCTGCTATAACTGTCCATGTTCCTCTGCTATTTATAGGGTTTTCAGAATCCTGTTACTTAAGAAATGGAGGGCCAATCCAGCTTCCCAGTCTTTCTTAATCTGGGAGCTCTACCAAACTCATGGGTAACCTTTGTGGCATTCGACACACCAGTGGCATAGCTTACAGCAACCCACACGTTATCTCAGTACAGCAAATTGACAGACAAGTGCTGTACCAATTAGATATTAAAAATTATTGCTGTACCAATTAGAAAAATGTTCTCACAGAAATGGTGAGGGCCCTTTTCAGGAGGCAACAAGTGATCAGTGGTGACTATATGCAAGTATACATAGTCAGCATTTATTGGGGGGGCGGGAAGAATTAATAGATTACTGGTCTTGCAAAGAAATTGTGTCCTCCAAATTTCCACTATCATTTCTCACATCAAAGTCTTACTTTCCAACTTTCCAACTACCAATCTTTCTTTTCAGCTTTTACATTCTAATTATAAGTAATTATCATTGTGTCTTTACATGTTGTAATCATTTTCAGACTGCAGAAATTGTTTATTTAAACATCAGTTTATTCATCTTTGGCATTAATGTGTGGTACATCCGTTCGAATAAGTCTTACTAACTGGTCTTTCTTAAAGGCATATGTATATTACTCTATCAACAATAGCATTATACTCAGAATAGATCTGTAAATGTTCCTTTTTTTTGGTCAGTGCCTCTTCAGTTTGTCATTTGTGGTGTAATTGACCATATTAACAGTAGCCAGTAGTAGTCTGTTTATTTCACCTCACTATTGTATAGGAAAATAGCATTGAATGAAAATGCCATTAATTGTGCTCATGAGGCCCAAGAAGCAGTTATCCAGACAGAACAAGGGGAAATTACAGGATTTTAAAATTAGGAAAGGTATATGTCAAAATTGGAACTTTTCTCCATACCTATTCAGCCTGTATGCTGAGCCCATCATACAAGAAGTTGAACTGTATGAAGAATGTAGCTTCACAGTTGGAGGAGGACTCATTAACAGCCTACGGTATACTGTTGAAACAGCCTGAACACTTGAAGTCTTTATTACAAAATATCAAAGCCTTCAATATGGACTGAATTTCAACATCAAGAAAACAGAAATCTTCACCACTGGACCAATAGGCAACATCATGACAATTGGGAAGAAAAGATTATTTTGCTTGGATCCATTATCAACACCCAGTGTAGCAGCTTTCAGGAAATCAAAAGATGTGTTGCCTTGGCAAAATCTGCTTCCAGGAATCTCTTTAAAGTTGTAAAGAACCTGGATATCAGTTTATATATGAAGGTGAACATAATCCAAGCCATGGTATTTTCAGTTTTTTCCTGTACATCTGAAAGATAGTAAATAAGGATGACAGAAGAGTCTGTACCTTTGAATTGTGGTGTTAAGGAAGAGTGTTCCATGGGATGCCAAAATAACAAATTAATCTTGAAGAAAGTGCAGCCAGGGTACTTCTAAGAGACAGGGTCTCATATATATGTTGGGCATATTATCAGGAGGGGGAAGTCCATGGGAAAAAAACATGCTAAGATAGGTCAGTGAAAGATAGAGGACTCAATAAGATGGATGAAATCAATGAGACAGATGGCTTGAGCATGGTGTTGAAAATATAGATAGCCCATGATAGGGAAACTGTTTCATCTGTTGCTTATAGGGCCAGCGTGTCTTGTCAGCTAAATGGCACCTAACAAGAATGACATTGTCTAAGACACTGGTTTTAGGGATTTCATGTTTTAAAACTTCCTGTTTTCCTACATTCATACCTTTGTACATTACATTCCTTGTTCTACTTGTTAATAAATGTTTGCAGCTGTTTTCACTTTAAGGTATTCTACATCAGCAAAGGAACATCTGTTAAAGCTTTACTCTTACCAGCATTAAGGTAGCTGAGGCTTTATCCAGTGTGCTTTGAGTGCCTTCGAACCTGAAGTGCCTTCCAACCTGAAGGGTTCATCTTCTGTCAACACTATCTCACTGCTACTCACAAATTATTTTTTCCAGAAATTGTCTCGTCATTTTTTTCACGCAGTCTTTCTCTAGAAGCTCTGTTGAAACTTGTTTACCATAAGTGACAGCTGGAATATGACATACCAGGAACATTTACTCCAACATTACAGTAACATGCAAGACATCATAGAACAACAAAGTGACAGACAGACAAAAGTGGTGAGAGTAGAAAAAGAAAGACATTACTTCTCTAAATTTTAAGCAGATGCCCATGTTCCTAGTCAGGTTAGCATCTCTTTGCTGCCTGCTCAAGCTTAAAGATGTAATTTTCTTTGCATATCCTTCTGGCTCTACCAGGTTATTAAAAGCAATGGGGTGGCAGGAATATCCCGAAAATGATGAGAATTGCCTTCCCCTCACAGAGGATGAACTCAAGGAGTTCCAAATGAAGACAGAGCAGGTATGTCATCACTTGCCCATAAACATTTCCTGGAGACCAGTAATAACGAGGAGGGATTGTAATCAGGGCATTTTTTACATTCTGGAAACCCCAGATACAGTACAGTATAAGAGAAGACTCTTGGGGTAAGGGAATCAAATAAGTTACTTTGAACAGTAGAAATGTAGTCACCTAACTTTGCCTGTGCAATAGGGCTCCAATGGTGGGTATGAAAACCAGGACATGGTTGAGCAGATTGAGGAAGTAGTACATTATTTCATTATTGCAGCTGAATCACACGGGGGTGTTCCAGTTTTGTTCTGAGTCCTTAGGGAAGCTGGTTCATCTACTTTGTTTCCCTCTTCATGGTTTTCTTCTGGCCAAAGCTAAGAACTCAGATTTATTCATCAAATACCTGAATGTCTTCCTTGACCATACACTACTAAACCTGGAGATTTATTGATTTATTTATCTATCCAGCAATGAACTGGACAAATGGGTTTCCTTCAGACTTCATGGATTTAGTGTACTTGTGACCAATATTTAAAATATAAAATTACAGTAGTTAAAAGTTTAAATAAGGGGAACTCTGGTGGCCTAGTGGCAAGGAGCTGCAACTACAATCCCAGAGGCGAACGGTTCGAATCCACCAGATGCTCTGCCAGGTAAGGAGGGACAATCTCCTCCTGTACCAGTCAGATCTGATTTGACAGTACACGCACACAAAAATAATAAAATAAAAAAATTTAAAAAAAAAAGTTT